GGAGGAGGAGGAGGGAGGAGGAGGAGGGGAGGAGGAGGAGGAGGAGGAGGAGAGGAGGAGGAGGAGCGGAGGAGGAGGAGAAGGAGGAGATAGGAGGAGGAGGTGGGAGGAGGTGGGGAGGAGGTGGAGGAGAAGGAGAAGAGGAGGAGGAGGAGGAGGAGGAGGAGGGTGAGGAGAAGGAGCAGGTGGGAGGAGGCGTCCGGCGGGCGAGCGCCCGCGCGCCGAGGAGGACGACGAGTAGAGGGCAGCGCGCGCGGGCGCTCGGGCGCGCGCGCGCCCGCGCGCCTCTCGGCGGGAGGCCGCCCGCCCGCGCCGCCCCGCACCCGCAGGCGCGCGCGCACACATCGCGCGCCGCCCCGCCCGCCCATTCCTCCTCAATCCTCCTCCTCCTCCTCCTCCTCCTCCTCCTCTTCCTCCTCCTCCTCCTCTTCCTCCTCCTCCTCCTCCTCCTCCTCCTCCTCCTCGGGGCCCGATGCGGGCCCTCTCGCCCCTCGGGTGGGAGCGGGAGGACTGAGGAGGCAGGGCCGGGGAGCAGGAGAGCCGAGGGCTGAGGCTTGAGGGTCGAGGGCTGTCGCCGCCGTCACCGTCGTCGTCGTCGGCGCCGTCGTCGTCGTCGTCGTCGCCGCCGCCGTCGTCGTCGTCGTCGTCGTCGTCGTCGTCGTCGCCGCCGTCACCGTGGCATCGTCGCTGTCGCCGCCGTCGTCGTCGCCGCCGCCGTCGTCGTCGCCGTCGCCGCCGTCGTCGTCGCCGTCGCCGCCGTCGTCGTCGTCGTCGTCGTCGTCGTCGTCGTCGTCGTCGTCGTCACGGTCGCCGGTGATGTCGTCCGCGCCCTCGCCCTGGCGCTCCCGGGTGGGCCGGGAGGCGGCTGCGCGCGGGAGCGGCGGGAGGGGCGGCCTTCTCGCTGCGGGCCCACGGTGGCGTCGTCGCGGCGGGTCCACGGGGGGGGGCCCTGCAGTGGAGGCCCATGCCAAGACGCACCCTGCTTGCTTCCAGGGTGCCCGGGGTGTCTCGGGTGTCGATGGCTCTGCCACGGAGGGCGTGGCGTTCACCAGCAATCCATGTACGCCCCGGGGTCTCAGGGTTGGGTTTCTTGTGGACGGTCTCTTGTGGTCGAGCCCTTACTGGAATTGATGTTCAAACCGCTAGGAGCGTCTTTCCCTGGTAGCAGCTTTTCGGCGGTTTTCGGCCAACCAGTCCAGAGGACAGAAGGCGGTATAACACGGCACCGAGCCGAAAACGGAGTGAGGAGAATCCCCAAACGGATCGACACGGACCCCCCCCCAGCGTTTTAATCTCATTTCCCAGTTCTGGCCTCCCGGCCACCTAGAGATGTTCACCAGAGGTCCTTCCTGCCCAGGGTCGCTCTTGCGCGTAGCTGAAGTAGGATGGGGATTTGGGAGTCGGTCCTCGTCCTGCGCAATCTCCACCCTCCTCAAACGAGAGGCGGCCGTCCACTGGCATGCCGCCCAGCGAAGCTAGCAAGAAGATGGCCGCGCTTTCTTCGCCGAGGGATGATCTGAACTTCATCCTCCCCTGAGCCTATGCTCCCCTGGTCGTTCTCCTCGGGAGGAACGAGGACGCAATAAGGCAAGGGGGGAGAGGACGGGGGGCGTGCAGGAGGAAATGCAGCAGCATCGGCTGGACGGGGTCCCCGATGCGGTCAGGAGTTTTTGGATACCGTGTCGCTCTGGCGGTTCTGGCCCACCTCTTCGGCGCGACACGGCATCTACTTCCCGATCCCCAGGGGGAACGTCCCGATGTTTCCAAGTTTCTCGTCCCGTGAGGCGGAGCGTTTCGCTATCCGCCTGCAGGGCTTAGCATGTTCTCGGGGCCGCCCCAGCGACAAGCTAAGCAACAGCTCCCGACCGTACCAGGCCCAGGCCGCCCTCCCCTCTGCTGCGCCTTGCCTTCCTTCGGGCATCCACTGCGCTCTTGGCCTCGCTTGGCAGCGACGTCTCTCCTCGCGTGGCCCCTCTTCACAGAGCTGCTTCGGGCACGTCAGTCTGCAGGCATTGCCCTGCAAGGGGCTGTGAGGGTCAGAGGCGGCCCCACCCACCCCTGGCTGACCATCCCCGTGCGTGACGACCCCCTCGCCTCGCCCTAAGACGTGGGCATGCGGCCAGAGGGAAGCCTGAAAGGCGAGGATGACGTCACGGGAGGTGCTGGTCACGGTATGGGTCGGGTATGTATGCCGCGCCCAGGAGGGGATGGGGGGATGGGGGGAGGGGGCAGGAGCAGGGGAGGGGAGGGGGTGGGAGGGGAGGGCAGGGGAGGGGAGGGTGAGGGGAGAGGAGGACAAACTAGGTGCGCTCGCGTCATATCTGACGTCCTGCCCCTCCCTCCCATCCCTTACCTTGGCGTAGACCTCCTCTCTATTCGCAGTCGGATGTCGTAGCAGGGCATATCATTACATGACATACCAGGGGTGTTGAAGATCAACGCGTAGCCGGACATAGAATGGCGTGGCGACGCTCCAAAGTGGGGGGGTGCTTCTGCGGCCCCTGGACATCCACGAATCGATACAGAATGCGTAATCACTTCCGATGATTGTTTCGGGGGGGGGGGCATTTTCTAGATTTGGGGGCCTATTTTAGGACCGAACACCATGTCGTGGCACGGCGCTGGAAACAATGACGCCAGCGCTGCAGCGGGAGCATGTATCGGAACGAGCGGAAGAGCGGAAATGAGGCCAGCGTTGCAGCGGGAACACGAGTCGGAGGACGCATAGCCTGACATATCGTGGCGACGCCCCAAAGTGGGGGGGCTTCAGCAACCCCGAAAAATCTACGAATCGGCACCGAATGTGGATTCACTTCCGATGGTTTTTTCGGGGGGGCAGTTTCTAGATTTGGGGGCCTTTTTGGAAGGACCGAAAGCCATGCAGCGGCATGGCGCTAGGGAATAATGAGGCCAGCGCTGAAGTGGGAGCACGATTCGGAACGAGCGGAGGCGCAGAAATGAGGCCAGCGCTGCAGCGGGAGCACGATTCGGATGGAGCGGTAGCCCGAAAACAAGGCCAGCGCTTCAGCGAGATCAGCATGAAGCAAGCATCCGCGCGGCAACCCGTTCCCCGAGAACCCTGCGTGTGCAACACCGGTGCGCGGGGCCGAGTATCTCCCGGACGTCGCCAGGGGAGAGAGGAGCGCAATATTCATATGGTGTATATGGTGGATGCGGGTGGGGGAGGGAAGGGGGATGCGGGGGAAGGGGAGGGGAGGGGAGGGGAGGGGAGGGGAGGGGGGGAGGGGGATGCGTGGGGGAGGGGAGGGAGGGGAGGGTGGGGGAGGAGAGGGGAGAGGGGAGGGGGGGAGGGGAGCGGATGCGGGGGATGGGGGGGGGGGGGAGGGGCGGGGGATGCCGGGGGGAGAGAGGGGGGGGGCAGGAGCCGCGGGGGGGGGGGGGGGAGGGGGGGGGGGCGAGGGGGCCGCAGGGGAGGGCAGAGAGGGGCGCATGAGGGGGGGGGGAGGCCCCGGGGCCGCGGGAGGCCCAGGGCTCGCCGACGAGGGGCTCGACAGCGGGGAGCCCGGAGGCCTGGCCACTAGGGGGAGGGGGAGGGGGGAGGGGGAGGGGGAGGAGGGGAGGAGGGGAGGAGGAGGAGGAGGAGAGGAAGGAGGAGGAGGGGAGGAGGAGAGGAGGGGGAGGAGGAGGAGGAGGAGGAGGAGGAGGAGGGGAGGAGGAGGAGGAGGAGGAGGGGGGAGGGGGAGGGGAGGAGGAGAGGAGGAGGAGGAGGAGGAGGAGGAGGAGGAGGGGAGGAGGAGGAGGAGGAGGAGGAGGAGGAGGAGGAGGAGGAGGAGGAGGAGGAGGGGCATCGGGGGGTCCAGAGCGCACGGCGCGGGAGAGCGGCCTCCTCGGCACGCGGCGCCCCGCGCCTGCTCCGCCCTGGTGCGGGGCCGCCGGGCGAGGGCGAGGGATGCGCTCGCCGCTCGCGAGGGGCGCTCCGGGACGGCCGCGGCGCCGATGCATCCGGGCCCGAAATCGGGGGATGGTCAAACGTAGTCAAAGAAGTGGTCTGGGGACTCTACTTTTGCATTGTTTGATTCTTCTTGACTACTTTTTGAATCTGGTTTGGCTACTGTTCATTTTTCTTCCAGGATCCGCATGTCGGAGGGCATGCCCGACCTGATCCTATCCAGAACCGCTGGATTTCAGAGATCCCCCATCGGTCCGGGTCTTATGTTGTGTCCCAGTCTTGGTGTCGTCCTATGGGCGGCGCAGCCCCCCCCCCCCCTCCGGCGGGGGCACCGGAGGAACTGCCTCGTGGAGCTGCCCGCCCGCTTCGGCCGCCTCCGGGCTCTGCGGGAGCTGCGCCTGCGGGGCAACGCGTTGCGTGCGCTGCCCGCTGGAGGGGCCTCCGGGGGGGCCGTCGTCGTCGACGTCGCCGTGGCCGTCGTCGCCCTCGTCGACGTCGTCGTCGTCGTCGTCTCGTCGTCGTGATTTTTGCCTTCGTCGTCATCGTCGACTCCGAGGAAACACTTTGCCCACAGGGCTGTGGTACCGGCCGCATATAGGTTGCCTTTAGTTCACGTCCTCTTCCTACCGACCCTCGGCCACTCCCAGCCTTGCATACGCAATGGGCCGGCATGCAGGCAACCTCCGTCGCCCCACCTGCGTGCGAAACTCGACGGGCCAAGGTGCATGGCGCGAAGCTGCGGCGTCCATCCTCCCTCCGCCTGCCCCTCCCCGGGGCCCCCTCCTCCGCCGATCGGACAGCCGCCCAGCTGCCCCCCTCCCCCGCGGCTCCCTCCCCCACACGCTCCTCCCCCCGCACGCTCCTCCCTCCCCCCCCCTCCCCTCGTCCCCCTCCGCCACTCCCTCTCCTCGCCCCCTCCCACTCGTCGCCCTCCCCCCCACGCGCCTCCCTCCTCCCCCCTCCCTCTCGTTCTCCTCCTCCCCCTCCTCCACAATTACAATTACAACTATGAATACGTACTGCTCTCCTCTCTCCCCTGACGACGTCCGGAAGATATCCGGCCCCCCTCCGCGTATTTTTGTTGCCACAAGATTCCCGGGAACCGGGTTTTCGCTTGAGCTTGTTTTTTCAAAATGTTGCTCTCGCTGAAGCGCTGGCCTCATTTTCGGGCTACCGCTCGTTCCGAATCATGCTCCCGCTGCAGCGCTGGCCTCATTTCCGCGCTTCGCTCGTTCCGAATCGTGCTCCCGCTGCAGCGTTGGCGTCATTATTTCCAGCGCCATGCCACGGCATGGTTTTCGGTCCTTCCAAATCGGCCTGAAAATCTAGAATATGCCCCCCCGAAACAACCATCGGAAATTATTCCACATTCGGTGTAGATTCGTTGATTTTTTGGGCCGCCGAAGCCCCCCTCCCCACTTTGGGGCGTCGCCACCTCATGCTATGTCATGCTACG